ACTCACCACCAGGGAGTTCTGGATCATGGAGCGGAACAACACGTTGGTTGATCGCCCCCTATGAGCCTCCATGTCGGCCTCGAAATGCAGTGTCTCACTCACTGCATTAGCGACATGAGGATCCGACAGAATAGAATCATCGACCCTGATCACTCTGTTCATGTGATCAGTGGCTCGGGGATTCCACTCTGCGGCCTCCCCCCGAGGCGGAACGGGAGGAGGGGTCTGCTGTTGTTGCTGTTGCTGTTGCTGCTGCTGCTGCTGTTGCTGTTGTCGGGGCTGCTGTTGTTGTTGCTGTTGTGGGGGAGCAGGCGGTAATCCACGATCCCTCCCGCTCTGAGGTTGAGCGGGAGATGCCCTGGGTCCCCGGCTGAGGCCGTCATGCCGATGCTTTACCCTTCTCTCCTCTTCCACTTGAGGATCCCGGTCTCGCACCTGACCCTGACCGGGAGCCCTCGAAGAATTGGCGGAACTGGTTCCTGCCGGAGTACCGCCGGTCGTCCCTCGACCTCTCCCGGCTGCGAGGGATTGCCTCTGCCTAAGAAACCCCAAATTAATGCGAGGGGCGTTGGACATCGCTTCCTCAAGAGCGTCTTCGGCGTCCAAAGATTGGAGAATTTGAAAATCGGGCCACAAGTCGCCTCCCGAAGTCCCCACCTCGGCGTCCGAAGGAGCAACGTCCTCTCTGACCCCGACCTCCTCAGCAACTCCCTCTACCTCTCCCTCTGAAGCCCAATCCGGGTCTTCCTCCAAGTTCTGCTCAACCTCTAGCCTCGCCGCCTGATCAAAGAGCTCTGACCACTGCGAAGGCTCGAAAGGTTGAGGGAGCTGTGAAAACTTCTTATACCCGGGGGTATAGTGCAGCAGATTATGGGCAGCTCGGCCAAATCCGTCGGCGCCCGTGAAACTCCAAACTGTTACTAGGTCGGCAAAGTTGACCAGCGACCGAGGGGGTGGAGCTGTTTCCCGAGAAGGAATATCTGCACAACAAAAAAGATTGTCATAAACATGAGAAGTCCCAAGAAACAAATAAAAAACCCAAAGGAACCGACGTACTTGTCGTTCTCCATTCCCGAGGGCAAAATAAGTCATTGTACTCGGGACCAACACCCCTCTCCCAACATCCCTTGAAGATCAAGATGTCGTCCTTGTACCCCTTGTCCGAGTCAGGAAGATGGGTTACAAGGTACATGGAGGGGTCCCTGGCTTTGAGGTAGAAATGTTGGTGGGGCATGACTCTTAGGAGGGAGTAACAGAAAAGGAGATCATTGAGCCCAATATTCACCCCGAGGCGCCTATTGAGCTCTAGGACCCCCATAATTATCCGAAAGACGTTGAGGCAGCATTGCCCGGGGAAGAGACGGAAGCGAGACAGGAACTGAAGAAGCAGGGGGGGTAAAGGAAACCTAATGCCACCCTCTATGATGGCCTTGGTATAAAAAGGCATGGCATCCGCGGCCCCGAAGGTAGGAGAGTTCAACAAAGGGTTAAAGCCCACTACGTCCACGCTCGGGGGGATGCCATACTTCGCCCTGAACCTATCGATCTGCGCCTCGCCTGTCACCTTGTATTTCCCTGACCCCGAGGGACCAGCCGATGGATTCTCGGGAACAGGGCGACGACGAGGCATCTCTAAAAGAAAGGGAAGGAAAAGGTGTTCTCTTGAAAACCTGAGGAAGTTCCCCGAGGGTTTAAATCAAGACGTACCGACCGGATGACACCACCGTTCAATCGGAAAACAAGAAGGCTAGGGGGACGATAAAGAAGAAGGTTGTGAAACTCACCAGAAGACGTCGAAAACGGAGTTTTTCAGGAAAAACTTTGAAAATAACTCGCACCGGAAGGACCAGGAGTCAACAATGGGTTTACTGACTGAGGTTTTAAGAGAAGATGCTGTCGACGATGGCTGAGAAAACAAAAACTCCGGCGAGCAGATCAGAAAAGGCGTATTCTGGGTCAGAGATCGGAATGGCAAAACGATGGAAACCGGAGAAGAACCCCCTTTATATAGGGGGGAAATTGTCATCATTGGGCGGGAGAACCAAAAACAGCGCATTTAATGCGCACGACATCCCAAGATGGGGAAAGCTGCTCGAGGCCATAATGAAGGACGGATGGCAGTTGGAAAAACCCTTCGTCTCCTGACAACGCGTGTCCTCGGCGTCAGAAGATCGAAGGCTGGGGGGCAGTTGATGGGACTCTTCTGAAAAGCCTATGATGAAGACACGTATCCTCGGGGTTTCTAGAACAATGTTGTTCGGGTTCGAGCACCATCGGCAAAAGGCGTCCTCTCCCCCGAGGTACCTCTCATATAGGATCACATATTCGGTGCATTATAAACGACACGTGTCCTCGGTCACTGTGTATCTCGGAACATACCACCCTCGGTCCCCGAGGTGAGCCTTTCCTCGGTGCCGAGGGTCACTCTATCCTGGACGCTTCCTTTACTCCCGGATAAAGCTACTGACGTACGGGACATCAGCCTATGCCAGTCTAGACTATTCATCATAACCTCGTCTTAACACAAGTAATGTCAGAACACGCTGGAATACCGACGTCACAGCCAATAAGGGATGGACGCGTGACAAATAATGTCACATCAGAAGCAGACAAACCGCATGCCGTCGCTGACACCCGACTTGGGAAAGCAAACAAATTAATTGCACCCTTCTGTTGACGAGACCGCATTCAATGCGGTAAGGTTCGGATATGAAAGGCAATAAATGCTCCTATTACAGAGCATTTATTGCATACTTCCCGAAAGGAGCATATTGTACCATCGGCGTCCCGACGGCTCAGCATTGATTGCTCGGGACCCCGAGCAATCAATTAGAGAAGACATTCCTCATCAAATCAATACACACGCTACCTGTGCCTGATGATCACCTGCTGACCACACTGACAGCAATCATGAGCTTCTAAGGTATAAATACTCCTCCCAAAAAGGCAAAGGGGTATGCAATCACAAACTCACCACTACAAAATATCCTTATCAGTGTTTTCTCCTTCCTCTCTCTCATTCAAAGACTGACTAGACCGTCGGAGGGGATACGCCGGAAAACACTCCGGCGCCCTTCTAACTCGTTCTCCTTTGTTCCAGGAAATATCTTTCGCACGTACAGGATCGTTCTTCCTTTCCCAGGATCTTCCTTTGCCGTTCCAGGTTGCCACCGTTCCTTGTAGGCTGTTTCGAGCAGTGTGTTTGGCCACTCAACCGGCTCACCCAAAGTTCACCAGGGGAGAGATCTGTTCCCAATATTTTATATATCGTGCAGGATCAAGCCCGCACAGAAACCAAGACGTTTGGGCGCATGGGAGATGCTCTTTCCAATTGATGTCTTTGGCATTTTCATAGTTTATTCCATGCGATGGTTTATCTTTTTTCACAAGTAGAATGAAAAGCCCTTCTTAGACCGAAAAACTAATACCTATTTTTAGTCTAAATGGTGCTAGTTAAAACTCATAATTATAGAAAAACAAAACCTCATAATTATATAAATGATCCTTTCACTACAAGAAAAAAGCCATTTACCGACATTTACTAAATGCCGGTAAAATAGAAATAAATGCTGCAAAATATTATTGTTGGCGTTTATTATTAACGACATCAAAAGGTTCGTCGGAAAAATTATCGGCGTTTAATTAAACACCACAAAAATTAAAGTTACGTTTACTAAGCATTTAAGTGACGCTTATTTAATCGACAATACCGGAGTTATGTTACGGCGTTTATTGAAACACCAGTAATTATTATTTCTTGTTTCTAGTTTATGGCGTTTAAATAAATGCCAGTAATTATAATTAATGTTTTTTTTTCATAATAAAACCTAGCTCATTGCATTTTCACTTGAATTAATATTGATAGTGAAGCTACTTTTTTTTTTAAAACAAAAGAATAATTATTTATTTACAAAACATGAATTACAAGAAGTAAGAGATAGGCACAGCTGCCTTAACAAAACAAAAACAAAAGGCAAAGACGCCTAGTAAAAACCACCATAAAACAAAAAGGAAAAAGGAAACCCCTGCTGATCCTTAAGCATCGCAAAACCCACCCCAGTCATTACAAGAAGCAAAAAGGAAAACCACATAAGACCTCCTATTCCAGAAACAAAAACAAACAAAAAACCAAATCAAAAGATTACAGGTCAGCTCCCAAAACAGTCAGCAGAGACATCACTCTTACAGCCACATCCAACCAATAACAGCAGTAAAACAGGCCTGAACTGACCTCAACTTCCAGCCAATAAAAATGACCTGTTTCAAACAAATCAACACTGACTCAGTAAATAGTGCTCTTTGTTTCTTGCCTCAAAAGTTGATTTTCTGTGATTTGTTTCTAGTTAAATTATCATCCACTTGCATAACAGTTTTCTATATCCCATTTCAGCACTAAGATTACCAGGAGATTATTCACTGCCTTCTACTTCTTCAAATCTCAGTGGTGGACAGATCCATGGCATAGAAGAGGGAGAGTCACTTGAGCGGGAATTTTGCTGCATGATTATTAACACGCTGCAATTTCGCCCTCTTTTGTCTTAGGTGAAAAACTTGAAAACATCAGAGGCATGCTTGCAGAATCCTTATGTAGATGTATTGTAGAATCTTTACTTCAGATATTAAAGCTCACAACCTTATACCTTGTTGGAGAGCTACATTTTCAAGCCTCAGGTGGGGCATGAAACTACGACAAAATCATCACCTTATGTTGCTTGATATACATTCATAAGAAAGAAAGAACTCAGAAGTTACCCCCATTGACGCCACATCGCTCAAATCAAAGCATGGAAAACGGATCTTATGCCACTTACAAACTTTCTTTATCAATTAGCCAGTTATCAATGCCTCACTGCAACTGTTTTGATCCACAAAAATTAAACTAAATCTACAACAAATTATCCATAGTTAAAGCAGAATCAATAAATAAAAGAAAAATCTACAATAAATTAAACTAAATCTTCACAAATTCAACAACAAGCGAAATGGAAAAAGGTTAGATAGATAAAACACAATAATGGAGCTAAGAATGTGAAGTTGTATAGGTGATACCAGAAGAGACTGAGCTCGAAGAAGAAAACCCGAACAAACTCGTAGTCCTAGAATTTGAACTCGATCCGAACAAGCTTGAAGTAGTGGAAAGAATCGGGATCGATGAATTAGCTCCGAACAAATTCGAAGAACGAAACGGAGACGAAGAAGCACTAGAAAACGTAGCTCCAAAAAGTGGTTGAGAAACAGAGTTCTGGAACTTGCTAGTGTAGCAGGCGCCCAACGACGAAGAGTAGTCGCCTGAGAGAAAACAGTCGAGGAATCGCCGGAGATTGACGAAGAGTCAGTCGCCTGAGACAGATCTGTGGCTAGGTTTCTGTGGCTATTTTGAGTCCAGAGTGCGAAGTGGGGAAAAATTTAGGTTTATTTTGGGGGCGAAAAAAAAAAAGCCTTTTAATTAAGAATTTGTGGCGTTCGAATCAAATGCCGGAAATTAAGTGAAATTTTTTTTTAAATTTTTTTCATTAATAATTTCTGGTAATTTCTGGAGTTTGACTTAAATGATGGATATTAAGCAATTTTTTTTTTAATTATTTTTTATCAATTTTAGTGATGTTTAAGTTAAACGCCAAAAATTAAATGTCGGATTTTCCCGTCTTTCTTGTAGTGTTTTGTTTAACACAAAATTAATATGAATTTAATTTATTTGAGTTTAATTTTAATGAGTTTTGATCGTAAACAAGTAAACCCACCAAACTTGTCTAATAAATAAATTAATATAACCCAATAAAACACAACGAATCTAGCTAAACATTGTGTATACACAATACGTATTCTATTATACAATACTTCAAAATAATTGGGCATGAATCAGAAAAACTTTGCAGGACTAAATTTACAGGTTTCAAAAATCCAACACAAAATGATTTTTTGACGACCATAGTTGTAGTGTAGTTCTACAAAATATACAAGAAGTTAATGTTTGCAGTATTGGCACTGTGAAAGGTTTGAAGTTTATGCTTTATGTTGTGCAAAGGTAAACTCTTGGTACTTCTCATCCCTCATAAATCACAAGTATCGGTGAAGCCTAAAAAACACATGCGATAGTAGACCCAAGACGTTTGGGCGTATGGGAGCTACTCTTTCCATCTTATGCATTACATTGTATTTTACACCATCTATTCCTTGATGTCTTTGGCATTCTAATAGTTTATATATAGCTATTCTATGTTTATGTGCATTACCTCTTACACCAAAGCTTCTCTTCTCTTGATGTGCTTTTAGAATAATTCAAGTTTGGAGCCTAGTGGTGTGATGATATGTAACCTTATCTAATTTAGCAATTCTGGTTCATTTTATTTTTTTCCTTTTAATGTTTTTGTGACGATCCATTATTGATTTGGAGAAATGTACGCTTGGATGGCAAGCTATATATGTGGTTTGGAATAATATATTTTTATAAGGTCGATATAGTGGGACAAAAATGATATTTTCCATAATTAAGGAAGTGAGTTTGGATTGAGATGAAATTAGTCATAAAAAAAATTATTATAGAATGAAATGACAATAATAATTCTTTTTTTTTTTTATAGAAACGATAGAATGTATTAAATAGAACAATCTGAACAGAGAATCAGCTCCAAAGACTCTCGTGCCATATCCTCCCGTACATGAAAATGTTCATAACATCTTCCATTCTAGCAAGATGGTGCACAACACCATTCCTAGTATTTCTAATAGTAGAAGCATAGAAAGAACTAAAACTATGTATGAGACACCTAATATCTGCTATTGTAGATCCCAAAGGAGAAAAATCATCATGGGAATCAACTATCGTCTTCATCATAGAGGATGAATTCCCTTCTAGCATAATCTCCTCACAATCCATCTGCCTAGCAAATAACAAAGCCTCCCTTGCAGCAATACTCTCTGTTGTTTGTGCATCATATGTCATACTTATCTTCTTCGACATCCCCGCAATAAATAACCCAGAATCATTCCTGATAACAACACCCACTCCCATTGACCCTTCAGAATTAAATACTACCCCATCAAATTTACCTTGAAAGTACTTGAGCTTGGGGGAGACCACCGAATAGGATCTGATACACTGTTTTGCATGAAGTCCACCTTCGTAGCCTTCTCAAGTTGCTCAAGATACCCTGCTACAGTTTGCACTAGCAGCCCCAGGTCATTCTCCAAATCCTGGAATAGAAATTTATTCCTATTCCTCCAAATAAACCAGCAATGCAACAGAAATAGCGAAAATAAATTGGACTTTAACTGCTGAGTGACTTCTCAAAACCAATGTTGAATATGGTTTGCAAGTCGCTGAACCCTGTGGCTCAATGGGCTGCCCACCCAGGATTTCTTTGCCCAATAACAGTCCTTTAAACACATGTAAAATAGACTCATTCTCCACTCTGCATACACGATTCAAATGAATCTTCCTACACTGTAAATTCTCATTTGTAGGGAGAGCATCCAATAGCATTCTCCAAGCAAAAATTTTAACTTTACTTGAAACTCACTGATTCCATAGTGCCTTCCAATTGCCATTAGGAGTCGGTGAAGAACTTGCATTAGATATTCCTTGTGAAAATAAATTACCCTCATAAGCCAAATGATATGCACTCCTTACAGAAAATCTACCATTTTTGTTGTAGTGTCATAATAATTTATCTTCCAACGGATAAACTCCCAACAAAATCCGTTTAGTATCTTAACTTCATGCTCCAAAAAAAACCTCATCAATCAACTGGGTTTTCCAACCACGCGTTTGGAGATCAATGAGTTGGCTGACCGTAGCCTCCTCCTCTAACATTTGCTTAGGAGTCACCACTTTGAAAGTAGTGGGTGTTGGAATCCACCTATCATGCCACACTTTAATTTTGGAGCCGTCACCAATCCTCCATCTCGATCCAACTTCAATCACTTTTCTAGCCTCTAGGATGCTCTGCCATGTGTATGATGGCCTATACGCCAACTAGGCACTCATAAATGATGTTGATGGGAAATATTTCACTTTCAAAACCTTATGAAGAAGAGTATCAGTATCATAATGGATCTTCCATGCTTGTTTGGCAAGCATCGCCATATTAAAGGTTCTCACATCCCTGAAACCCATGCCACCTTGCTTTTTACCCTTGCACATATTAGCCCCCTTTTCCCAATGAATTTTTCTCTCCCTTGCCTTTTGACCCCACCACAAATTGGAAGCTATAGACTCGAAATCATTGTACAAATATTTTGGAAGTTTAAAGCATCCCATAGCATATGTCGGAATTGACTGGGTCACTCCTTTGATTAATATTTCTTTACCTCCCCTTGATAATAGCCGCTCTTTCCATCCTTGTAACTTCTGCCAAACCCGTTCTCTCAAACTAGCAAATACCTCCTTCGTAGACATTCCCACCACAGATGGCAATCCTAGATATTTCTCATGCTACTATACACGGAAAACATTGAGGATAGATTGCATTTCTCTTTCTCTTGTCTCTAGCACATTGTGTTGCACACCATTGCAGATTTTTCCAATCTAATTTGTTGACCCGAAGCTAATTTGTATAGTTGTAGAACCTCCTTAACTGCAGCTACTTCCATAGGTGTAGACTTAAAGAATAGTAGACTATCATCTGCAAAAAAGAGATGAGAAATTCAAGGACATCCACGACCCACACTAATCCCTGAGATAGTACCACTTCTTTTGGCATCTTTAAGCTGACATTCTCTGTGCACAAAGAAGAAAAAGGTAGGGGATAAGGGGTCTGCTTGTCGGATCCCCCTTTGAGGAAAAAAATAACCTATTTGCTCATTATTCAACATCAGCGAATATGAGACTGACTCCACACATTGCATTATCAATCGTATCCATCCATTAGCAAAGCCCAAAGCTCCATCATTCTCTCCAAAAAAATACATTCTAGTCTATCATATGACATGAAACAAAAATAATAGACTCAGAAAAAGAAAGAAAAGGAAAAAAAAACTAAAATACAAAAAACCAATCAAGTTGACGATTACATATTTAGAAATGCAAATATCCTTGCCAAGAGAAAAGAATCGCACAGGCATGTCCCCCATACTTATTTCCTCAAAGAAATACCTTAGGAAGGGTGCGGAAATAAATCACAGATTTAAGGGCCACTTGCACTGTTTCCCCTGTTGTGTGTTTCTTATAAGCTTTCAACATTCTCTATTGGACAACATGCAACATCTGCATAACTGAAAGAGCATTGTAGATTAAAGTTGCCATCATGGAAGCACCACCTGTTTATTTCAAGCTTGGCTAAGATCTCAAAGTTTGGTCTTACTACATCATGAATTTGTTGAAAATAAGCTTAATTTTACTTTTTAGTACATTAGATGAATTAGTGAAAGTGGCCACTTTAGGTTCATCTTACTACTCCAATTGGCCATTGTCAATTAATTGGAATCATCTTCCCATGGCCATATCTGTGTACGTGCACCAAATGGGTCACCTCCTGCTCACGAAATGTGTTAAAGCTTGAGATGTCGATGTTGAGGACGATTGGTCCAGTACTACAAACCATTTTCTCACTATGATCGGTTGGACTTAACACCTTGGTATCCGCAACTTTATAATAGCTTCGGGATAAAAAAATACAAAATCCTTTTGAATTCTATATCCCTATGGGATCCAACTTTATACAACTGAGTTATAGCTCTGCTCTATCTCTGCAATATTGTGATTTGTTTTCTATCAACTTCACAAAAGGGAGAAACCAGAGAGCACTTTAAAAAAGTCGCAGCAAAATTTGTTTGGTACACTTCTATATGAAAAAAATCAAGTAAAGAGATCATAATTTTGTAGGGAGGCAATCTCGCTTGAGCAATAAACATACAAGAGAGAGAGACACACACAGAGAGAGAAGAGAAAGAGAGAGAGAGCAAATTTAAACCTGGAATCAACTCAGCCTGGACATAAGCACTGCCAGCTGCAATGACATTTACTAATCGATTCTTGTACATCTACAACCGCTGAACACAAAAAAAAAAAAAAAATTATATTAGGGGGGTTGGTGTGGGTGGGTGGGTGTGTGCAGACGAGGAGGAGAGAAATAGATGGATAGAGAATTGTTGGATTGCTAATTCTTGGTGTGAAGAGAAAGAGAGAGACAGAGAGATCTACCTTGAACATTGGTGGCGTCGGAGGTTGGTTGTTGCGTTGGTGCTGTGGTGTTAGGATTCTTGTAAATCCAAAAATATAATTCAATTTTTTAAATTCAGGTGATCCTTGCGCCCAACTTTAATGTAAAGTTAGGGATAGTGCAATTACTACCTCAATTTCACAGACTTGAATCAGAAAACTCATATTTGCATATTAAAGATTTTGAGGAGATATGTTGGACATTCTAAGAT